GAGGACACAAAGGGAACAGACACCACGCATCACTGTGGAGGTGTGTCACAGATGTAATTTTTGCTCTTGCCTGTAAAGTTGCAAGTTAGTTCGAACAGTTTTCTGGAAATATTTGGGGAAAGCTCAGATATTTTTTTAAGACTTCTGCCACAATCTGTGCATCTGTCTCTGGGGCTTGTAAACCTGTGTGTTAAAAAAACTTAATGGACTGGAAAGGTTTCCTGAGACATGAAAGCACTGTAGGTAATGGATTCAGGTGCCAGAGACATCTGCAGTCCATTGGCAACTGCAGTAACATCAATAAGAAATGAAGGATGGTTTTGAAACAGCATCTTGGCTATCTACAGGGTCTGATCTGACATCTTTGGCTGTCCTGTCACCATGATTTGGGATGTAACCTCACTTAACAGTCCCTGTTTGAGTCTCTGTAGATGAGGGGAGGTCTCACATGTCTGGAGGGAGTGCCTGAATGACATGTTCTTCAGCTGGAACATCGGTGCCAGAGCAAGCTGGGGTGAGGACTGGGCAGCTCTTGTGCCCTTGTGTGTGCTTATGAGAGGGGCTGCAGGTTTTGGAGGCACAAGGCCTTCTAAACACAGCAAAAAGTAAAGGCTGCAGCTCTTTATACCTTCAGGAGCTGGTTCAGCATCTCCCATGCATCTCAGTGCTCTGAAAGGGTCTGTGTCCCTGAGTTATCTGTGGGGTAGGGAGACATTTGGCACGCTGGGGGATGTAGAAGAGTTTGCTTGGCTTTCAAAACCAGGAGGAGAGAGTGCTTACTGGTTTGAGTTTTAAGTTTGGTTTAAATTAGCCTAATGTCCAAGGCAAGTGCCTGCCCTACTGAGAGGGCTGTGTTCCCACTAGTGGCAACTGGGCTGACTTGTCCTGACAGTCCCATCAGAGCTTGATCTGAAGAGACAACCTTTATGGAGCAGTGGAAGCACCATCCCTGTGTCTGTTGGCTCCTGGCCTCTTGGTTCAGCCTGCCCCTTGTCAGGGCGGCTTCTGAAACCTCATGCTGAGAATCTTTCACAGCGTCTCCTCTCCATTATGGACATCACATTCAAGTCCACTTGTACTTTTGGGTACCACATTCCCTGAAATCAAACCGGGGGGCTCAGTCTGTGTCCTGTACCATGAGCAGCTGACATCTTGTTAAAAAGGAACTCTCTGCAAAATGCAAAGTAAAGCCGGGTTGCTATTCTTTGTTATGCTGGAGTCTTATGTGAAGCCAAGGTCCATGTTGCCTCTAAGAAACATATATTTGGTGTTACTTGTAATATGTTTGTGCCGGTTTTGTGGCATGAAGTAGAGTCAAGAGGACAACTACCTGCCTAAATAGAGGGAAAACAGATGTCTACAAACAAAACTATCTCTAATGAAGACAAACCTTTTAGGCTGTGAAGAATTTTCCTGGCATTGAGGCAGACTAACTCTCCTTTTCCTTTTTTTGTTCTTTATCATTAGGCTTTCTTGAACTTTAACTGAACCATAAGGAAACTATGAAAAGTCTCAATAGCTGCTCTGTGAGGATTTGACTTACCCATTGGATCTGCTATTTATAGTGTCCATTAGTAGAAAAATGTCTGTCCTTTTGCAGCAGTCATGTATAGCAAAAGCACTGCTCTTCTGGCAAACTGCCTCTGCCTCCTGTGTCACCCAAAATATCCATCAACAGAGTGTTCAGAAATGAGCTGTTCTTGATTAAAAAAACCCAACCAAACAACCAAAACCCAGAGGCCAAAATAGCCTAAAATTAAAATGTATGTTTTTCAGGAGGCAGCCTTTCACCCCCAGCCCTGTCTCCCTGTGGAACACCATCTTTGTCCCAAGGAAATTGAAATCAGGAAGAGAGATGAGAGGATGGAAACTGTCTTCCAGCCTTGGAGAGCCCATCTGCACCCCAGAACCAGGCTGGGTTCTGTAACAAAGGAAACCATTTTACTAGGAATTTGTCTTACCTTGCTGAGAGGAGTCTTGCAGTAGCTTGGGTGTTGGAGAGAAGGTGATGGAATGAGTTTCTTTTGGATATGCTCCAGTGTACCAAATCTGGCATACATTTGCATATTCTATATCTGAACAATTAATTAGAGCCTTAAAATATTAAGGTGAAAATAAGCTTTAAAAATGGATTCTCCTAACAGTCCTCCTAATGGAGTCTTGATTGGTTAATCTGAGCTAACTATACAGCCTTGATGTCACATTTGTCAGTAGTGTTGTGAGCATTAGATTACTGGAAATTTTGACAGAAGGGTTACATGTCACATCCTGCAGGCATAAAGTGGTGGTGGCAATTGGCATGGGGTCTCCTGGAGTTGTGGTGCTCTGCAAAGCTCCATGCTGTCCTCCACACTCTCCAAAGCTCTTGGGGCAGTCCTCTCTCCTGCTCTGGAAGAGCAGAATCTGACCAGGGGTATACTGACTATATCTTGCTTCCCACCCACGTGTGCCCCCAAGCAAGGGGCTGCAGCACACGGCAGCACAGCGTGGGCTCGGGCACCTTGTGTCTGCAGGAACAGGATGGGCCAAGCCACAGGTTCTCTTTCTCAGTTTTCTCCGTTGTTGCTTGTGCTTTGCCATTTGCGTGTGCCTCACAACACAGAGTTGTCAGGATCTGCAAGGATTTCAAGGCAGCTATTTGTGTCCAGTCCCCACTGCTCTGCATTGGCAGCACCATGAGAGGGTCTGGGAGATATCTCTGCCATGTTTCTCACAAAAAAGAAGTTAAAAAGAGGGGCTGGGAAGTACGCCAGGCATCCAGCAGGAGAAATTTGAAAAGTCACAGAACGAAGTGCAGGCCCTGGAAAGGCAGCTGGGAAGATTGGTGGGCTTAAAATCAATATCCCTGATTTTCCATAGGGCTAGTTGCATGCATGACTTGATTTATGGGGTTATGGTGCTTGATTCAGTCTGTTTAGCAACTAAGTGGAGTTCCACCTCATACTAAAGGCATGTTGCTGGAGAGGGGGACAGAGAACTGGAGCTATTGTTCAGAGCAGGCATCATTATCATGTGTAATCCCTGTCGTAAATACATTGAGCTCCATCTCAAAATCAGTTGAGTTGTTTTCCTGCCTTGTGGAAGACATTCAGAATTTCCTCTGGCAGTAGGAAAGGAGTGTCTTCAGATATCTCATCTGAATTTATACCTGGTGAATTTATTCTAAGTATTCTTGGGATTACAGTTTTTTAAATCAGCTTATTTTTTCCATCCCTTGGTGGTTATTCTGACACACTCATCCATCTACTCTTGCTATTGGCTGCAGCTGATAAAATGGTTGTGGTCACTGCCCTCCTGGTGACCAGTCAGGAGGAAAGTGGATTGTAAGATACAAATACCAGTCATTCTGAATGTTCTTTGCCTAGTGGGTGGGTTTTTTTAATATCTAATTACATAGTTTGTGCAAAAGAGAGATTAACATGACACTTTATTTTTAGCCAAATGCAGCTGTGAAAGTAACTCACAGCTCTGCTTTTTGGGAGAAAAAACCCATCTTTTCTAAAGGAGTAACAAAAGACTAATGATGTTACATTAAAAGTACAAAGGAATTCTGTAAGAGTATGAACTGTGAGAAGTCATCATTATTTATGTAGTGGACAGGGTCCCTTGTTAGGCTGGCTGCTGTAAAGTTACGTGTAGGGCAGTGATTTAAATTATACTTTCCTTTTCCAACTGGTCCTTTCCTGAAGGACACAGTAATGGGTGACCAGAGATCTTCAATTTCTGCCCTCAGGATGGTGATTAACAGGGACTCTGCCAGTGTTTCCTGGATTGCTGTGTGCCATCTCTGCGCAAGGGGTGGAGCAGCACTGGGATTCTTCCTCTGTTTTCGGGTGTAGGCCCAGCTGGGCAGCTTGTTGCTTTCCCTAGGGCTTAGCTCTGTGCTGGGTTCCAGCATCTTGAGTTTGAAAGAACTCCCAGTCAGGATCCACAAACAGCTGGAGAGTGAAGGGGTTTATTTACACTGAGTTGACTATGAGTGGGATGAAGGTGTTGATTAATGAGTCAGGGAGGGTGAACTAATACACACATAAGACAATTAAACCCTTTTCCTCTGATTTCTTCTATAGATGGTTCAGCTGGACCAACCCCTAAGTGCTTGATTTTCTCCATCAAAGGTCCCTGAACTTCCTTAGGGCAGAAAACCTCTCTAGTTACTTCCATGTGCACCTGTGTGCCTGGTGGCATTTCACTGCACCCTTGAGTGGTTCCCAAGCTGAGATGTGATGCCATCTCCCTGGGATGTGTACCCTCCTGCCCTGTGCTCAGCACGGCCAGAGCCAGCAGCCAATAGACAAGCCTGTATCCTGGACCAGGGGCCCCACAGCCAAACAGTTGTTGTCGTCTTCAGTCCCTCTGCGGGAAGCTCAGACCTAATGTTTAAATCCAGCTTTGTGTTGCAGTCTTAAAATGGGTGAGGTGGACAAAGTATACATTTTAATCATACAGAAATGTTATTTGGCCCTTCTTTTTCAAGTCCCTCATCAGCATAGATGTCTGTCTGGGAAAGGCCTTTAATGCATACTCATTGTGCTGATGAGGAGGAAATAACATCCAAAGTGCACGTAAGAATGCAGCTAAATCCATATATTAAATGTCAAAAATTCCCATTACTCAGCTGGTCATTCTACCTCTGCTTGCAAAACAGTACCTCCAAAAACATTTTGTAGACATTTAATAAATTATAATCTTAAATTTTTGCAGTCACTTCACGTTGTCCCTAACAGAGAGAGCATTTATTGATGATGCTTTGTGCGTCGTACTCTAAAGGCTGGAGTCCTAGTATTTATGAATAATCAGCATTTTCCACTGAGATTTTTTTAATATTTGGTTGTTCTGTTTAATTTTTAATGATTTGCTTATATTTCAGGGAAAAAAATACTTCAAAAATAGATTATTATGCTCTAGTTTTTATTGTTTAAGCTAATCTTTATAATTTTAAAACATCATTTTCTTTAGCAAACTTCTCTTTTTTTTTTCTAACTTTGCTGCTGCCACAGAAGAGGTGTCTGCAAGGATAGTACAAGTAGTAACAGCTGAAGCTGTAGCAGTCCTGAAAGGTGAGCAGGAAAAAGAAGCACAGCACAAAGATCAGCCTGGACCACTACCTATAGGTAAAACAAGACAAACAATGTTCAAAGTATCCTCATGTCTCCAAGCATTCTATGTATGTTCATTACAAAACCACCTTGCAGCTATGTGTTCACATAGGTTATGACCATGGGTAAATTGCAGCACCACTGGATTAATCCTGAAACCACATAATAATTGCAATATCCTTGTTGCCCTAGTTCTTCACAGCCCTGGAACTGTCTCCTTCACTCTTTGCTCCAGCAGCAGTTCTCAACCTGACTCCTGAGTGATGTGGCTGTGAATCAGTGGTACGGGTTTCAACGCTGTGTTTGGTGGGACCCAGCAGCACTCAGAGCCCCTTTTGTGTTCAGTTGTATACAATGGGGGTGAGAAAGATGGATGTCTGAAGAGGCAAAGATTAGAGGAGAGACATATAAAAAGTGAGGTTATGCTGGTTGTGTGGTAGCTACTCAAAAAGATGGAGGAGCAGAGAGGAATGGGGCACACCGGGTGAGGGTGGGAGAGGGGTTAGCAGCCAGGCAGGGTGAGGGGAGATGGTGGAAGATGGAGTTACAGGTAGCAGAAGCAAATGCCAGTGGTACAGATTGGGAATGGTGTCACTGCCACTGGTCCGTGCTGTGCCCCCATCCTCCTGCTGCCTCCTTTTTGAAACGTCTCTCTGAAAAACAAGTAGGAGTATATCTTTTTAAAAAAGTAAATTTACAGACATTCTTACCTACAGTGCTTCCTCCTTGCCAGAAAACTTCCACAATAGCTCACAACATGCCTACCAAAGGCAGAGAAAGGCCTGAGGAGGGGCAAGTCTGGCAAGCCTGCCCCAGTATAAGTTCTGCTGAGTGCATGTGCATTGTGATCGAATCAAAATAATGCCTGATGGTGTCTTCCCCAAAGGCACTCTGCTTTGTTGGTACAGTGGCTGGACCCTCCTTAGGAATTAATTAAAGGCAATGAGTAATTTAGTGTATTTGTTGGAAATTCCCAAGATCTTTTGCTTGATTGAATTAATTTTGAGCTGTAGCAAGGAGATGTGTTGCTTGGTAATGCTCTTCTTTACAAAGACTAAATTTGACACGGAAGACCCCAGTTCTACAAAACACTTCATACATGTTTTAGCACAGGTTGCTTCACTGGGGCCTGTGTGAGACAAAATGGATATTCAGTTCCATTTAGTTAGCTAAGAGATTTAAAAATATTGTGAGAAATGCATTTTCTGTTGTGTTACAGTTCCTGTGGTCAATCACTGTTAAATAAGTGCAGGTGGAATTGCATTGTGATGAAGATATAAATACTCTGACCCTAAGCAGAATGCAGAATGTTTTTTGTTCATGTTCTCAAGGTAAATAGAAGAGATGAGATGCCAGTTACTGATAGTCAGCATGGATTTATAAGATCTCTCATGCTCTGATGCTTAATTGTTGTTGCCTTGGGTGACTGAAGGTTTTCAAAGTGGCAATTCTGATTTAAAAGATAATTTTGTATTTGTTTTTTTATTGTACTCTGTGACCAGAATTTTGAAAATAATACCATCTGAAAAAAAAAAGACTAAATCCTTTTATTATAACTTTAAAAAAATGGTCTATCTGAAAATCCACCAGACACAAGTCCCCATTGAATAATTCTCTCAGCTGGGCAGAACAGGCTGACTGCAGCTTGTATCAAGCATCAGTCTGCCTGGAATTAATCGCTCTGTCTCATTTCCACTGTTTGATTTCTAGCAGTCGAAGAGTCAGCCAACCTGCCTCCTTCCCCACCTCCATCACCAGCTTCTGAGCAGACTGGAGCTCTGGAGGAAGGTAAGGGTCTCCTGGGTGTTGCAGTGCCAGCAGAGGGATGAGACAGGAGTCTAAAGGATGGGAATCAGAACATGGACATACTTTCTGCACCTTCCTGTGAAAAGATAAGGCGTTCCCCAGCAGTAACTTCCCAGCTGCAACCAGTTGCAATGCATGGGTGTGGTAGACACATGTACAGAGGTAACCAGCTAGATACAGTATGTTAAGTACATCTGTATTAAAGGAAAAAAGGTGGTGGTGCTCACCATGCAGTAAGAGCCATGATGTCTACTGTCCCAGTGGGGTCACCAGAGCTAATATGAGTCATCATTCTTTTCCTAGGTTTTCTTTGGCTGATTTACTTTAATTACAATGACCTCTGGGTTTGGAATCTTAAACACATGAAGCAAGGAGATTCAGAGATGTATCATTTATTTGGTCTTAACCTGCAATTCATGCTTCAATGCCTGCATGTTTTGGGGGTTCTGTGCACAGAGTGCAGGAGTCAAATTCTAGTCTCACAAAGCAACTTTCTGCTCTTTTCTGCACAGTCAATGTTCTGTTTCAGCAGCTCATGATCATTACATTCTCCTCCTGCTAAAATCCCCTTCAGCAAAGAGCTTAACCCTTGGTTTAATTTTAAGCAGAGGCCTAAATCCCAGTGAAGTTGTCACAATGGTAAACATTTGTGTCAGTGCTTTGTTCCACAGCAGAAGACTGCTGCATCAATATATATGCCATCAGTACAGGGAGACAGCAATATGTTAAAATTGAGCCATACCATGAGGATATGAGGGAAGGATTTGGGTGCCAAATCTCCAAAAGGCTGTCAGTTGAACTTTGCCATGTCAATGGCATTTTTGTGTCTGTTTCTTTCCTTCTTGGATTTGATTTTAGCATTTTTTTCTTTTTGTTAAATGAGTGCATTAAAATAATTTCTTAACATCTCCTGAACAAACTTTGTTGGTATCTTAACACAGAGCCTCTTGATTTTGCAAGTGGATGGTTCCTATTTAATGTGCTAACATAGTCTGACTTCTCAGTTTATCAGGACACTGCAATTAGGCATGGTCCATCCTGTTGTCATTTTTGAGATAATTACAGGCTGTTTTAACAACCACAGTTGTCAGTCACCTGTACTGGAAATACCTACTGGCTGCAGTTAGTAAGCAACATAAAACAATTGGTTAACTGTTTGGTTTTTTTAAAAAAACAAACATCTGAACAGTTCTTAGACTCATCACCAGGAGCTGTAATAGCAATCAAAACTAACTGAAAACAAATCTAGTAGAGCATTATCAAACACTTTTAAAGTCATTACCAGGGTTTTACCACTATTTTTTATATATATTTTTATATATATATCGTTTGACTCATTCGGCATGTGCTTTTTGATTTTTCATATGAGAATAAATGCTTGCTTTTCTCATTCAGGCAAATGTTAATGTTTTTTCATCATTCATCCTTAGTTGAGGGTTAGCTGTGCATACTGTTTCTATCAGCAATATTATTTACATGTATTTTAGGACTTCCTGAAGTAGTCAGATTGATTAGTTGACAGGAGGTTGTAGATTGCTCCCTAAGCAAATGAAATTTTGCTGGTAGGTGGAAAACATGATACATCTTGAGGTTGTTATGTACAACTAGACTGCTGTTCCCAGCTGTAAATATGATTCATCAAGTCATTTAACATCGTGGGGCTTTTCTTCCCTTGCATGTGGAATTGAGTTAATATAAGAGCACTTACCTACAATCCTGCAAGGTCAGTGTTTGGGAGAGGTTTTGGTGATTTACACAATTCTGCTGTTTTATAAAAGCATTCAAATAATTTCCATTGACTTTAGTGATTCAAGTCTTCATGTTTCAGAGCAGATGGTCTGTATAAATCCTAAAACTGTAGATCTGTAAGGGAAGTATGGACAGAAATGATGTGTTGAGTCATTAATGCCCTCTGCTCGAAGCTTCTTTCTTATGTCCAGGTCTGAAACTGGAACTTCTTTAAAAAAATGTCACCACAAGTATATTATGTTCCTTTCCCCCAAAATATCAGTGTTTTAAATGCAATGTGATTAATGGTAGTAAAATGATTTTGTTCTGCTCTGTGTTAGAAGGTGTGGTCCTAATTTTCTGAGAGTTAGTTGAGCTTTTGCTGACCCAAGTGAGCCAGACCTGTCATTTTTATTCAGGCAAAACTCCCATTTAGAAGAGTTAGCCTCAGTAGGGCTTGACCCAATTTAACTGTATTTGGTTAGACCTTCAGTTCCCTATACCATCTGGCTATCCATCTTCATGCGTCTCTACGTTGCCTCTCTGTCTTTCTGCTCAGTAGAATAACATGTATGAAATTAACCCAGTTGTACAGTTGTTGAACAACAAAGATGAGTGCTTGGTGTGTGTACCTACCTCACGCTTCCTTTTTTCCCCTTCTCTTAGAACCTTTTCCTAATGCACTTGTCAGTGTGTGTCTGAATTGCTCTGAATCCAAAAGAGACTCCTTCAGTCATAGTGGGAAGGAAATCACTGCAGTAGACATGACAAAGGTGGATGTGGCCAGCCATGCAGCAAACACAAATTAAAAAAAAAAAAAAAAAAAGGTAGGAAAGACAGAGAGGTTTGTGGGTCAAGTGTATTTCATGAGAGAAAGAAGTCAGTGGATGTGGGTTCCTTTCTTTCCTTTGGCTCCAGAAAAACATTCAAATGAGCCTCTCCCTTTTTGCTGCTGCAGAAGGTAAGGTAACTAATTTTCTTTATTGAAATTAATTTAATTTATTTCACCTATGATAAAATAATTTTCTTCAGGAAATGAAATTTTCCCTACCACTGTCTAATCCTTTTACCAGTTGTATCTGGTCATGCAGGGCTGATGTGATAGTCTCTTGCCAACTTGGCATTTCTTCTCTGCCTTTGACAATGGTCAACAATGTCTTCATATAAAAATGTTCCTAAATGCTACAAGATAGAAGAATGCCTTTGAGGCATTGTCATCCATTTTGAAATAGGCATTTCAGATTAGGCTTTACATACTGAATAATACTTTCCAAACTGAAAGGAAACAAGTGTCCTATAAAAATCGATCTATTTACAGTGAAAATTACTTCTTGAAAGGAATTTTCAAAAGATACCTGGCAGCTAAAGCAAAATCAGCCTTTGTGAGGAGTGATTTTAGTCTTGGACTTCAGAATACATTGGGAATTTTTCCCATGCTTTGAGATGAAAAAGAACTACTGGAAGAGGCTAAAATAACAAAGAAAGGTTTTTTTCTTGTTGCCAAAAGAAAAAGATAACTTCTTTAAAGACATCATTACTCTGTTAATGAAATTATGTGCAGCAATTTTGAAAATATCTTTATTAAAACTGATAAATAAGCAATATAGATCTGTAGTAGTCATAGAAATAACAGCCTCAAACATTACTAGATTTGGCACTCCTTGTGGTTTTGTACCATCACAGTATGTATGAAGCATTTTTACTGTTTTCAGGTCCTGTAGGAGCAGAGACAGGGTCTGTATTTTCTTGCCTACAATCCATTCAGAGCCTATAAACATCTAATTTTCAGCCTCCTTTGCTGCAGTATAGAGACATCCTGGGGTTTCATATTGACTCTTGTTGATGCATTTTACTTCTGAAGGACCCCTGGGTAAATGTGACCCACAGCTGGAAGGAGAACCTCCTCTATTGCACAGCCTCCTTTTCCATGTTCTGCTTCTCACTGCATCAGCCTTCCAGTCATTTCTCCACAATGTCCCATTTCCAGCAGAAGAGGTGGCAAGTGCATCGACCCTTTACACTCTTGTCCCAAGTAATACATGGAGTAGTGTGAGGGCGCCCTACAAAGAAGCAGGAGTTAAAGTTTTGAACCTTCTCAGCTTTAGGGGGAATTTCATTCCTGATATGTCACATCCTGAGACATGGGATGTAAACCAGCCTTTTGAGCCCCCTCAAATCTGTCACTGAGTTTGTAGGAGCTTCTGTGGAGAAGAAATCCACATGTTCAAGTGTATCAAGATGCTTCCCTTCAAATTGCTACCAGCCCTTAAGTACTAGGGAACAGTGGGCAGCTTGGGATCAGCCCTGTGTTTAGCATTCCTTATTGCAGTGCTTTGCAGAGCTTCCTGCTTGGAAAGGACAGGTTGCCAGGTTATCTTTGTACATCTACCTCTTTTAAGCAGGCATAGATCCCTGAATCTGGGGTTTGCATTCCACTCTGAGAGCAAAGCAACTAAGGTGTCAGTGGTTTGGGCACTGTTTGTGTCCTGAAAGAAGTTATGAGAACAGATCTCTTAAACTAAGTTCCTGGGTGGCATTTGTGTATGTGTGTAGGTGCATACTGCATACTTTCAGTCTTGGCCAGCCCCAGGGTGATCATGGAGTCTTAAACATGGATCATCTTCCTTTTGCAGGACAATGATACATACTGGAGCAGGCTTTATCAAGAAAACCAGTAGCTAGCTATTTGGGAAAGGGGTTTTTGTCCTTGTTTAAATGTTACTTTTTTCTAGGGAAAAAGAAGAAAGCAGGAAATTTTGAAATAGATGCAATGAGAAATAAAACCACCATTGACCAAAGTGGAAGCTGGTTTGCTTTCTAATTCAAGGACTTAGTAAAATTTACACTTTCCAGTACTTCACCTGATGACTGTAAGGCCTACAACTGTGCTGGGATACTTCAGAAGGTTTTAATACAGCCAGTCAGCTGTACATACGAGTGTCAGTGCGTGTCATGAGATATGGTTTGTGCACAATATGTATTCCTGTAAATAATAAGTGAAATAAGCTTTGAAATGCTCTTATTCCAGTGATTTTCCTGTGTTTGCCACACAGTAGGAATTGCCACATACACGCCCACAGCTGCCTTATTCCTCCATCCCACATTGACCTGTAGCCTGGCTGATTTCATCCACTCTGCAGTATGATCTAGTGGCTAGTGTTGCTTGTGCATGCATCTGTCCTGTCCTGTCTTTTCTTTGTCTGTCTGTCTGTCCTGCAGTTTCTGTCTGTGTGTGTCTATTTGTAGATGAAGGG